CTCTCTCTCTCTCTCTCTCTCTCTCTCTCTCTCTCTCTCTCTCTCTCTCTCTCTCTCTCTCTCTCTCTCTCTCTCTCTCTGTGTGTCTGTGGAAGGGAATGGATGTGTGTGTGCCCATCTCTCGCACCTGTCTCTGTGACTGAGTCATCTGCTCGTTGGTTACACAGAGTTGGCACATCACTGTCAATTAGTATTGTGAAAAGAAGTCCTTGCTAAAGATGTGGCCTCATAACATCTGAATTTCCACAATGCATGATTGCAGCTGTAGATGAAGGCTATGACGTAGCAAGTATCTAGATGGCTGTGATAGATACTGATTGTGACCCCTGAAGGAAGGCATGCTGGGCACAAGGAAAACAATCTACGGTTCATTTTCAGCAAACAGATGAAGGAATGGCCGGCCTCTCATGGATGCACTGGTTCACATGCTACGAATGTGAATACATGTGTGTTTGTAGACGTTCTTTCAGAACAGTCTTCTTTGTGTTGGGGGGATGAAATACTTTGGTCGACTTTTTCTCCCTTTTCCACATCGCAAGTGCCCCTGATATTGCGGACCGACTCGAAGAACCAGTTTCAGGCATCCTTGAAAAGAATTCAGTACGAGTTTTTCCTTAAAGAAAGATTTTACTTAGTTATTTTCTAAGTAAATGTGCGAGTCTGCTTCAATTTTGGATCTAGTCATCTGGGTGGATGGAAGAAGGGGGTTTTGTGGTGACAATTTACAGCTCAACACACAGTTCAGCTTGTGCTTCGCTGTCTTGTCCGCTGCCCCGGTAGCAGTGCCTGGTGTGCTGCTGAGTTGTTGCCTGCTGCTATGTTCCACTTGTGGTGTTGCTTATTGGCAGTCTGCTTTCAACAAGGGTCAAAGGGTTCATGACCTAAAGCATCAGTACGGGGATTCTGAAGATCGTCCAGGGTTCAGCCTCCTCCCGATGATGAGTCGGTGCAATTCTGACGAAACAATCTATCATCATCAGTTGTTGTTTTCTTTTGCTTTTTCGTTTTTGGTACTCGTACATTTCTTGTCTTCTGCTTGTCCCGTTTTCCTTGCCTTGTGTGCTTGTATGGCCTCCCGCGTCCCCTGTGCCCTCCAGCAAATGTGTTGCCTCCTTGCTTTTGCCTCGCTGCTTCTTTTCCCTGCCTTGTGTGCTTTCACCTCCCGTGTGCCCTCCGGCCCGTGTTGCCTCTCTGCTTTAGCCTTGCTGTTCCTTTTTCTTTTTCTTTTCCAAAGAAAGGCTCCAATCTTGGAGCAATGTCTTTGGACTTTACTCACTTGGATGCCTGCTTTCCTCCTGAAGTGTTGAGGTGATACGGTGTATGGTCTTTTTACCATGGGGAGGTTGATTTATGTGGGTTTCATGCACATCGACTCTGTGTGTGTGTGTGTGTGTGTGTGTGTGTGTGTGTGTGTGTGTGTGTGTGTGTGTGTGAGAGAGAGAGAGAGAGAGAGAGAGAGAGAGAGAGAGAGAGAGAGACGCCTTCTCTCTCATTCTCCCCGTGCCTTCCACCACCATCTCCCCCACCTCCTGCCTTCAACGACCTTCTTCACCCCCTTCCAGCCCCCTCCTTTTTTTTTTTCTTTTTTTTTAAGCCCAGGTTGTTTTATAGGCCAGGTTCCACACATCCGGTTGACAATTTTTTTATTTGTGAGACCGCCTCACTACCCATCCCATCGTCAATTCTTCCAGCCCCTATTCCCACTATCCTACCTGTGTTCATCACTCAGGACTATCACCCCGCCAGGTGACTTGGACCGGACAGCAGTTATAGGAACCAGGGCTAGGCAGATACCCCACCCAGCCCTCGTTGAAGCATGATCGGGCAAGCCCTGTCACACGGGTATTTTGATGTCAGGCTCAAGCAGTGTTTCTATCAGCCCCACATGCTATCCTAACCCCTACTGAGCATATCACTGACCGCATCTAGTCTATGGCACCCCTAGCAAGGGCCGGGTGCCCCCCCGGGCATTGTAGCTAACTGTGTGTGCGCCTGTAGGCTGTATGTTTGTGCCCGTAGGCTGTGCTGTACCCATAAGGCTGTGTGTTGTGCCTGTAGGCTGTGTGTTGTGTCCATAGACTGTATATTGTGCCCGTAGGCTGTGGTGTGTAAGAGACGTGCTGTTCTGTGTATGATAGGCCTTACTGTGCTAGAACCCCCCCACAAAGTCCCGAGCCAGACTCGAGCGCATGCTCATCGTCATGTAACAGCTGTGCTCAACCATGTATGCTACAATCTCAAATGGAACCAATGTGCGATATGCCAGACTGGGGAGATCATCAACAACCTATGGCCAACATCCTCAGGCAACCCAGTCGTAGTCAAGACCCGACCTACAGCAATCCTGGACTAAATCCCTTGGGCAGTGCAGGCAGTTTCTGTAATGCTTACCGTGCACCAACCCAAGGGGGTTGGTGTGTACGGCCGTGTGTTGGTCAACGCTCACCGGTGTCGATGCACGAGGCTGCGGGGTTTTGAAACCACATCCTCAAGCCACAAAGCGCATTTCCAACAGGTGCTCAACTCACTGAGCTAATCGGCTGTACATCGGCCCCCTCCTTACTCGTTCCGTCACGCTTTCCATCGACTTGTCGAGTCCCAGGACTTTTGCACAACGACCAAAGACTTTATGCGACAACAGACTTCGTAAGAGGACAACGAACGTAATGCGCTGACGGCGGACTTCATGTACAGAACTTTCTGCAGAAAGCAGCTGGAGAGAGAGAGAGAGAGAGAGAGTGAGAGAGAGAGTCGCCCTATAATGAGGTGGATGAAAGCCTCCACAGCTTCCATGTGCCGTAGCAAGTCCTTCCACCATGGTTGATGAAAAGCTCCATGGCTTCCCTGTGCCGCAGCAAGTCCTTCACCATGCCTGCTGCAACAGATGAGCTGGCACTGGCCATCCGCGCTGGATCCGCTTCAAATTCCTTGATATGATATGCGACCTCCATACCCTCACGAGCTCCCCCTCCACTCCCTCTGCCAACTTGCACCACTCTACACCCGCATGTTCAGCACCTTCTGCCAGGTATGGTTGGCCATGCAACCTCCATACTCAAGTGACCTGTTGATGTCTCACATGATGACCGCATGCAGTAGGGTCACAAACATGAGAGGTAGACAACAAAAACAGAGAAAATCCAGGAGTCAGCAACAGGACTAACAGAAGGAACCTACTAGAAAGCAAGAAAAACACACCAGTAGTATTGAAATTTGAAACCTACATGGCTCGACTTGGGCTTGGGTTAGGAAAATAAAGAGAAACCAAACCAACAAGTGTGTTGCCAAAAAAA